GCTGTACATAGGGGTAGGGCGGCTGCTGATGGGGCGAACGGAGCTGTTCAGGGTGCAGCAGGGCGTGGCGGTCAAGATGGTCAAACGCGTGTACGACGTGCCGTCTGTGCCAGGTGCGGGCGGCGTGGGCGGCGGGCGCAGGGGGACTCTCTGTGGTGGCGGGCCTGCTGGACCAGGACGTGCGCGACTGCTTGGGATAAGGCGCAGATGCGGCTGCGAGCCGGGCTGTGTGACACAACCACCCTGCTGCCCAGCAACCACTCTCCTCGGCAGCCTGCTTGCTTTCACGCTAGTGTGCTCCGCAAAACAGATTTCCAGCCACACGACGGGCCACTGCAACACTGCCGGGCCCTCCCCCAAACACGCCCACCCCCAACAGGCCACCTTCGCGGCAGCTTCATGCTCCAGAACCTCCCCAGCCTCGCCGCCGCCCTCGCGCTGAGCCCGGCCCCCGGCAGCCGCGTCATCGACATGTGCGCAGCGCCCGGCGGCAAGAGCACGCTGCTCGCGCAGCTGATGCGCAACCAAGGGGAGGTCGTCGCCGCCGACCGCTCGCACAGCAAGGTGCCCTCGCGTGCTGGCGGGGTCGCTGCCGGCCCAAGCTAGAGCCTGCTGCTGCAGGCACGCGCTGCCCGCTCTGCATCTGCATGCCCTGCCCGAGCCTTGCCGTCCGCCTGTGTCGGGGGCCGCGGCGGGGCACGCCCTGTTGCCTGCCAGCCCCGCTCCTGGCGCCCCGCAATGACCGGCTGCGCGCGCCCGCGCGGCCCACTGAAATTCGAATTCGACAGGTGGATGACATAAAGGCGCTCGCGGACGAGCTGGGCTGCACCTGCATCACGGCGATAAAGATGGACTCCACCCGCTCGGTGCTGCCGCCGCGGCTCTGCGGCGGCGGCGGCCCCGCTGCGACTGCGGCCGGTGCAGTGGAGGAAGTTCCTGTGATGCCACTGGCGGAGGACCAGCAGGAGCAGCAGCAGCAGCAACAGCAGCGGCAGCCGGCCCGCAGCGAACACGCGCCCCTGGCGCCGCCGGCGCCCGCCCTCGCGGGCGGCCCGAGCGCCAGGGCGCTGCAGCGGGTGCAGCGGCGCGCGGCGAGCATGCGGGCGCGCGGCATCGAGCCCCCAGAGTCGGAGCTGCGGCTGGTCGGCCTGGGGCCGAGGGCGTGCCCGGGGTTCCCGCCAGAGAGCTTTGACTACGTGCTGCTGGACGCCCCATGCTCGGGCCTTGGGCTGCGGCCGAGGCTGCTGACGCAGGTGAGAGGCGGGCGGGGGCGGGGCCATGGGCGCGGGCGCACGCGCCGCAACGCCGGCCGCTTGGGGTCCCGCCCGCCTCGCGGTGGCGGCAGCGGGCTGCCGACGCACCGCGCGTGCCACGGCCTCCCCGGCGCCTGAAATGTCAACCGTTCCACGCGGCCGTCGCGGCCGTCATCCCGCCGCGCAGGTGACGCTCCCGGAGCTGCGCAGCGCCGCTTACTACCAGCGGCGGCTGATGGACCGCGCCGTGCAGCTGCTGAGGCCGGGCGGCGTGATGGTCTACTCCACATGCACCATCAACCCGGGTGAGCGCGGCAGCCCTCTGAACCAGTGGGTTGCTTGCTGTCGTTGAGGTGTGGCGGATCGGACTCGTTGTGTCGCCACGCGTCGGCTGCCCCAGACGGCTGGATGCGACAGCCCCATCTTGACCATGCGGATCTCTAGTGCGCGGCGCCGCCCGCTGGCACGGCCGCGGCAGGACGCCTGGCTGGCGCGCCCGGTCAAACATGGTTCCGGAGCGGTCAAACCTGCTCTTGCAATGGTCAACCGTCGAACGCAGGCGAGAACGAGGCCAACGTGAGGTACCTCCTTGACAGCCACCCCTGCATGCAGCTCGCTGCGCCGCCCGTGCGGCTCGGCGGGCCGGGGCTGGCGCGGCCCGCCGACGCAGCCGGCCTGCGCGCGGCGGTCGTGCGCTGCTGCGAGGAGCGGGAGGCGCGGCAGCGGCAGGAGCAGCAGCGAGCGGCCGGCGGGCTTGGGACGGCCGGCGGCGGCGGGGGCGCCTCTGGTCTTCGGGATGAGGCCGGGCCAGGCGGTGCAGACGGAGGCGCATGGAGCAGAGAAGCAGCAGCAGGAGCAGCAGCAGCAGCAGGAGCAGGAGAGGCAGCACCCACGCCAGGGCCATCAGCCGCGGCAGCAGCCGCAGCGGCGGCAGGGCCGCGGCCGGGCCGCCCCCATTCCAAGGACGGGCGGCAGCGCAGCGCGACAGCATCGGACCAGGCGGCGGCCGCGCCGGCGGCGGCGGGCGCGGGGGCGGAGGTCCCTTACACAACAAAGGCTGATGTGGGGCCGGACGAGGCTTGGCTGTCTGAGGACGAGGCTGAGCTGGTGCAGCGCTTCGACCCCGCGGCGCCGCTCGACACGATAGGGTTCTTCGCCGCGCGGTTCGTGAAGCGCGCGGGCCCGCTTTGACTGCGCCGCGGTGCCTCCTCTGGCTGTTGCGCTTGAAAGTGTTGGGCTGCATCCTTGTCGACCCTTGCGGGCTTGGCGTCTCTGCGGCTGCCTCGGCTATGTAATCGCTGCGACCAACCATTGCTGGTTTACAGCAATTAACTGCCCGTTGGACTTCAAATAAAACCAGCTATCGCGTGCAGGTAAAAAAATAATAGAATGCAATCAAATCAAGGAGAGCCACCAGCTGTTGCATGATTGCTGACTGGGGCACCCATTCATCAGCTGCCCGCCAGCTGCAACATGGCCGCCTTTTCAGACAGCGTCACCTGCAGCTGCACGTCCTTCTGCTGCTCTTTGGGCACAAGCACTGTCCCAAGACTCTTCTCCATCGGCGCTGCCGCCCCTGCCGCCGCTGCGCCGTTCCCGCCGCCGCCTTTCTGCGCCGCCGCGGTGCCGTTGGGCGTGGCGCCGCCGCCGTTGCCGCTGGTGGAGGTCGCGCCGCTGGCGCCTGCGTGGCTGATGATCTCGCAGGCGTTGCCGAGGATGAGGTTGCCCTGTTTGTCGAGGCACTGGAAGTCGCCCACGATCACGCGGCCATCTATCAAGATAACCTTTCGCATGGTGGGTAGGGTTGTGTGTTGTGGGTGGTGGGTTCAAAAGGTGGATGTGCGCTGTGGGGCGACAGGCAGCTGCTTGATGGGTGGGCGAACCAGCTGCATGGCGCGCCCTTCTGAGCGCTGCTGCGAGTGAGGGCGGGCCCAGGTGCATCGTGAGCGATGCCGATGCAGCAGCGGAGCAGCGTTCGCATGGCGACGACCAGCGGGACGTGTGCGCGTGACCAGTCATGCCTCACGTGAGGGCTTTGCCGCATTGCATGTGTATAGATTATAGCTCACCTTGAACCGCCGGTGCAGCAGCTGGGAGGCCTTCGCCACAGCGGGCTTGTCTTTTGTGGCCGCCATCCTCGCTGGCTAACTGGGCACACACACAGTGTAATTCGGCTCTTTAATCTAAATGATACTGATGCACGCCGCGCGTCAAAGTGCCATAGACAGATGGGACGCGGTCTGACAACTCCAGTTGCACGTGCAAGGGGCCTGTATGTGAGCAGATCTATCTTTTCAATGTGATAGGTTGCCAGATCCGACCCGCATTCGTCAAAGAAGGTGGCTGGTCCAAGTGCGGGTCAAACACTGCCGCGTGGAAAAGGAGCAGGTTCAAGCCAACAAAAGGATGCTGAGGGTTTACGAGAATGTTCCAGTCATTGGAACGAATCACATAAACGCAATCAAACCTGCATAGCTTTGTGCAAAGGCTGGCTTCAGCAGTGAGGCTCTATATCGAATAAGCGAATTGGTACCTTACATAAGTGTGGTGTTCGCATAGCGTTTCCTATGCGATCAGGAGGGCGCTGCACGCACCGCCGCATGAACGCCACCTGCTGCGTCTCTGCCCTGGCACTCCTGCGACACCCCACGCAAGCAGCTGGATGGCGGACGCGTCCCTCCGGCCCCACGCGCCGCCCCGCCGCGACCTCATGAGCCGCGACGGCGGCGGCGCCAGCACAGCGGCCGCCGCGGCCGCGGCCGCGCGCGCCGCAGAGGCGGCAGACCTGGGAGCGCTCCAGCGAGAGCAGCTGGCGGCGGGCCGATACGCTGAGGCCGCGCGCACCGAGAAGCGCCTGGGAGAGCTAAAAATGGCTGCGGAGCAGCAGGCGCTCGAGGTGCAAGGAGGCAATGCGGCTTAGAATTTGAGGCCGAGGGTGAAGCTCCTGCTGTGGGACTATGGGTTGATCGGTTACTCTGTTCGAGCCGGCGACGGCGAGGTGCTCTGCGTGCCACCAACAGCGATGAGAGCGCCTCGCTCGTTGGTGCAACATCGCTATGATGGCGTAGCAGCCGGCAAGACCGGGCCCTAGGCAGGTCAGCCAAAAAGATGGACTCAAATACCGGCGCGAGCTCCATCCGCCATCCCACGAAGCCGCGTGCCCCGAACTCCAAACCCCCCTCCTCACCCCCCCTCCACACACACACAAATATACAAACCCCTCCCAGGAGCTGCGCCTGCGCCAGGCCTCTGAGCTGTCGTCCCTGCGTCAGCAGTTCCAGGAGGAGGGCGCCGCGTTCGCCTCCGCATGGGACGCGGAGATGCGCCAGTTGGCGTCCGCCGCGGCGGCGGCGGAGCAGGCCCAGATGGAGCGGTGCCTAAATGATCTGGCCGAGGTCAAGGTGAGGGCGGAGTGAGCACAGGCGTCGGTTGATCACTTGCCGGGGGCCGCAGCGGCTGTACAGGTAGTTGGGCTTTTGACATGACAGTGCTGTCTGTGTTGTGTGTTTGGCTGGCCGGCGGCGGACAGCTGCTCGGCGCCCGTGCACAACCGACACCAGCACTCCTTCGCGCTGTTGCAGGCTGCGCCTACCACCACGCCGCGCGCCACGTTCCGCGCGTCGCCGGCGCTGCTGAACCTGCGGCGCGTCCAGGCGGCGCTCGTGCAGCAGCGGCAGTTCCTCAAAGCGCAGCAGGTGCGCAGCATACCGGGCACGCATTTTCAAGTACCGTGTAACGAAAGCACACGAGTCATGGCCGCCCAGAGCATGGCCAAGCTTTGCCTGCCGCAATGACTGCCGACAGTCCGCGTCTCTGCAGCGGCGTGAGCGTCCGATCACACTGCCCCGTTCACAGGTCCAGCAGCAGGCCGACGAGATGCAGGCTGCAGAGATGGGCGCGCAGGCGGCCGCGGCGGACGCGCGGCATCGGGTGGACGAGGCCAAGCTGGCGGCGCGGCAGGCGAAGGAGCAGGTGGGCAGGCGCCGCGCGCGGCGAGCGGCGCAGGCGCGGGCGTGGGCGCCGCGCAGCTGCGGCTGCAGCGCAGGTACGTTACAAGCGACAGCAAGTCGCTGCCGTTCTGTGACGCGCCAGCCTGCTAGCTTTTAGAGCCCCGCCCCCCGCGCGTGTCGCCGACATTCAAGGGCCCACTCCCAGCCGCACGTGTGCCGCGCGGCAGGCGGCGCTTCCTCTGTGCCGCTTGGAAGACGATGTGAGGCATGGAAGCCTGCCAGCAGCCTCATTATTTGCAGGCGCTCAAATAGGTCTAATTATTACCATGGCTGCAGGAGGCCCTGGCTCTCAGGCTGACGATGGCTGAGAGCGAGGCCAAGCTGCGGCGGCAGGACGAGATGCAAAGGATGACGCGGCGGCAGCAGGTGCGCGCACAGGGCGGCTGCGCATGCAGCGGTGCGTAGTGGCACACAGGCAGACCCTGGTGCACACAAGCAGTGGGCTCGTCGTTGGTAGTACCTTTCGTTGGCAGTCCAGCCTGAGGCACTGCCAATCCAGAGTCCAGCCTTCGCCATGATCGGGTCGTTTTGACCTGTGCTTTTGGCAGCGCCCTGGTGGGCGCAAACATTAGCGCGCGCGCACGCGCATGTGAAGGCACCGGTCGCTGCCTCCATTGGCGCCACCTGGGCGGGCAGGACACCACCTGCTGCAACCCGTACAACCTTGTTGTCACCGTCTTCAATTATGCTGCGGCTCGTTCCCTCAGCCTCCCCTCACACGCCCGCCCTTGTTCCGGCCTGCCCGCCCGCGTCCGCGCGGGCCCACCAACTGGACAGGCACTGTGGCAGGCGACCGAGCGCAGCCATGCCCGCGAGCGCCTGCAGCTCGAGTCAGCCCTGCGGGGCACCCTGGGCATAAAGCGGCCCACAAACCTGCTGGCCCTTCCCTCTATTGGTACCTCCATCGCCGCCACCACGCTGCTGAGCAGCCCGAAGACCGTCGCGGCCGCGCCCCAGCTGCAATGGGATGCGCCGCTGCCGCAGCAGCAGCTGCAGCAGCTGCAGCAGCTGCAGCAGCAGCAGCCGGGGCGCGCCACGACGCCGGTTGGCGGGAGCCCTGCGGCGGGCGGGTCCGTGAGTCGCAGCGGCGGTACGCTGGCCGCGACACAGCCACAGAAGGGCGCAGGCGCCGGCGGCCGAGGCCGCGGAACAGCGTCACTTGCCGCCCCGCGCGCCAGCGGCACGCACCGCCTGGCAGCGCCCGGAGCCGCGACCGGCCATTGGGCCCTCAGCAGCACCGCCGCCGCGCCCGCGACAGAGGATCTCGCCGACTCGTTCTTCGGCGGGACTGTGTCGCGCGGCGCAAGCGGCATCACCATGGCGCAAGAGGCTGGCGCGCCCCCATGGCCTCCGCTGGTCGGCGCCGCAGCCGGCGAGCCAGGCACCAGCCGCGGCGACAACAGTGATGGCCGGCCCGGTGGCCTTTCGCAGCATGCGGGGCCGGTGCACCTCGGCCGCCCAGTGACAAGGCAGGCGCCGGCCGGCCGCAGCGGCTCCGGGGGCCCCGCGCAGCCGCTGTCTGGGGTAGATGGCGGCAGCAGCAGCGGCAGCTCTCGAGACAATGGTGTGACGAGGTTGCCCTCTGATGGCGGGGGGGAGCAGGCATCAACCCTGACGGCCGCCTCAGAGCACGCCCAGCAGCACTGCAACGTCGATGTGCGGCAGGTGGAGGGGCAGCAGCTTCCGCCCGACTTCATGCCCTGGCGGGGGGCGGTGTCTGTGTTCAACACTCTAGAGCCGGAGCCGCTGCTACAGGCGCTGTGCCTGGAGGGGTCACACGCGGCCGGCGAGGGGGAGGCGGGGGACGAGGGGGAGGCGGGGCCGGCGGAGGGGCTGCAGCAAGGGCTGGGCGGGGAGGAGCGCCAGGGGCAGCAGCATGAGCAGGAGGAGGACTGGCAGGAGCGGTGGCAGCAGGACAGATAGCGGCTGGCGACAGGGGGGGAGATGACGGCAGGGGAGGGCAGCTGCAGGACAGTGCAGATTCGGCGCAAGAGGAGCAGGTGGGGCCGCCAGACTGCGACGCGCGTGGCCGGGTGCTGGCAGGGGTACCAGGCACCTGCACGCGCTCACGATGTTTGTGGGCCATACGTGACAGCATTGCGACTTTGCTGGTTTGATTTGCAGCTCATGTAAATGTCCTTGAATGCAGGCGGTTGCGGACGGCAGTTGCCTGGACTTCAGTCGGACTGTAATAAAGCAGCCTGGTCAATCGCAGAACTGTCCACAGGTCAAAAGGCCGAAATGCAAGCGATCAAAAGCATACGGTGTTCGTAAGCCCAGAAATGCAGATGGAATCACATGTGTATGTCCGTGGTGGAGCAGCAGCAGCTGGGCATGGTCGTGCCCTGTTGAGCAACGTGCAGTACTGGGGGCGCGTGACTCGGTGACTCCCAAAGGCCTGGCCGCTGCGGTTCATTGACTTGTCGGCCACATGCCATTGGGGCTTCGACGTATACTTCAAGCATCGTCACTATCGCTTCGCACATCACATTCGCGCAGCAGGCCTCATTCTCTCGTGCAGCAGCAGCAAGCAGCAGCGGGACGCAGCAATGGCCGAAGAGCAGGAGCTGGACCTGAGCAACGTAAGAGCAGAGGGAAATAATGATGGCCAGTACCAGTTGGATGTCACGCTGGATGCGTTCGGAGTGCCGGCGCCCAGATCGAGTGTCGGCTAGCGGAGATGGGGCCTCATCCCGTGTCATTCCATGCTTCTTATCGCAGTCCGACGTGGTGACCAAGTACAAGGCGGCAGCTGAGATCTGCAACAGTGAGCGCCGTCTTGCTGCCTTCAGTCTGCATGTTTTGCGGCCTTTTATGGCGGAGTGATCGCAGCTTGACTCATGCTTCCGAACGCGACGCGCAGAGGCCATCTCGGCGGCGGTGGAGGCCAGCAAGGATGGCGCCAAGGTTGTCGATGTCTGCCGCATCGGCGACGATGTGATCACCAAGTGCGGCCCCGCTCCGTGCATGCGGCCGCGCGACGCCAGTTGAATCACAAATACACTGCCTAGCACAACAATGTGGCGCAGCTCGCGCAATGCTGGCCAGGCTGCGCGCAGCAGGCTGGGGGGCAACATTGCAGATGGCCAGGTCAGACACGCACATTGCGACCCAATCAACGTCAAATCCATTCAAATGCACTGTTTTCCAGGGAGGTCCAGAACATCTTCAAGGGCAAGAAGTTTGAGAAGGGCATCGCTTTCCCAACCTGCGTTTCGGTCAACAGGTGTGTGGCGCGGTCCACACGTTTGACCGCCGCTGACCGCACGTGATCGCGCCGCAGAACAGTCGCGTCACCGCAGGGGCCCAGCCCGCCGCCCTGCACCGAGCCGGCGAAGAGGCGGGCGCCGCTTGCGTTCAGGCTGGCGCGCCTGCGGCAGGGGCTAGCGGGCCGCCCTGGCAAGGGCCGCAGCAGCGCCTGCAGCAACTCGCAGCTGCGTTGATCGGAAGGCAGACGCCAGCTGGTGCACAGCACACACCCTCTCCTGCTGGCATCCATCCGATGGCACTGCAAGGCGTCAGAGTGACGCGAGTCATCAGGATTGAATGAATACGGCGTTACCAACGGCAGCGCGCCGGCGGCCGCCAATCGCCGGCAGCCCGCCATGTCAGCACGCTGGTCCCCACCCGCGGCCGCTGACCCCTCCCCCTCACCTGCAGTGTTGTCGGCCACTTCTCACCGGCCACGGACGACACCACGACCATCAAGGATGGAGACCTCGTAAAGATGTGAGGGCACGGCAGATCTGGGGTCCAATGAGATTTTTTGTTGGGGGGTTGACCAGATTGAGGATCAAGTCGCGCTTTGACCAAAGCGAGATTCTAGCTGCCGAGCACGCGACCCCACGTCGACCGCCGCGGAAGCTTGGTCTGGCAGTGGCTTGAGGTGCCAGGTGCCTCGGCAGTGATGTACAGGTCTGCCCGCCATGCGCATGGCAGCACAGACTCCCACCCCAACCCCGTCCACCACCTATGTCCATCGCCCCTCGTCGCTCCCACCCCGCCGCGCCGCCCCTCTGGCCTCGCCGCCCCCCCTCTCACACCCCTCAAAACCGCCCGTGCCGCGTCGTTCCCGCTTCATCCGCGCGTGCGCAGCGACCTCGGCTGCCACATCGATGGCTGGATTGCCACCCAGGCCACCACTATCCAGGTTGCGGCCGGCGGCGTGGCGACGCCCATCACCGGCCGCGCGGCGGACGTCGTCGCGGCGGCGCGGACGGCGTTCGATGTGGCGATCCGGTTGATCAAGCCGGGCAAGAAGGTGGGCGGGGGCCGGGGCGCCGGCGGGGTTGCATGGCGGGATGGTGTTGGTGGGTGGTTCGGAGCAAGTTGAGACATCTGAAGCTGTGAGAACGTGTGTGAAAACTGGCGGGGG